CAGCAGCAGCATGAGCTGCAGACCATTTTCGAAGGAGCTGCTGGCACGCAATCCTGGTCGGGTGCAATGCCAACCGAAAGCCTGCCGTTGTCCTACGTCACATGGAGCTTCGGTCAAATCGGGCCTCAACGGGTAGCTGGCATCTTTCCGCTCACTCCAGGCATGGATGATGCGAAGCCAGTTTCTCTCCCGCGCCTCGCAGAGCTGTTGAGTGTGTATCGAAGCCACCGTTTTTGTGGCTCGATGTTTGGCAAACGCCGTTTAAGATGCCGTGGAATGGAAAGCCAATGAGGTCGGCCATGGTTGGAACGTCCAATGAGGGATACTATGTGTCTGTCTGCGCATGCTGCAAGGTGTGTGGTTTCAGGTTTAAGTCGTGTGGTTTACCGTTCCGACAACCCCGAATCCCGAAACTTTAGGCTCGGCCTCCTGGAGCGTCACTTGCATGCGAGACGCCGCCAAAAGCGCTGCAAACAGCGTGCTGAAGCTCTGCGACGCGAGGTCCTTGCCGAGTCTCGTCAGCTTTGCCGGTCGGTCCTCAGAGCCGGTGCTCGCACGGTCGTGGTCCAGCTTCCGAAGCTTCAAAGGCGTTGCCCACAGCTGCTCGAGCTCGGTCGCACGCTCCGTTTTTTTGCGTTTGCTGTTCTCGTATCGTTTTTTTGCTGCAGCATAGAGGTACGTCAAGGTAGTCCGCGCCGCTTGCGCTGGCAGGCTCACAGGACCCGGGCGGCCGAGGACCTGAGCTCGAAACTTGTGCTCTTCGGAGCCCGTGCACTGATCTCGCGCCACCGCAGCACTCATCGGCCGCAGATAGATGGCCGGGTCTGCCTCCAACCATCTTGCCAGCATCTCATGTGGGCAGGTGCGACAGCGACAGTAGACGAGACCTGGAGGCCCGTCATTTTAGTGCACTGTGGATGTGTATGAATTCCTTTACGAAACAATGGAACCACTTGCTGAAAGTGTACTTGAAAGGAAAATCAAGCCACAGGAGCACATGGTTGTGCACCCTCGCCACGGGCGCCGGAGATGCATGACGGCACAGAGCCCTCCCAGCAGCAGTCGCAAGCCTCACGTTGCAGGAGCACTCGCGTCGCAAGCCAACCCTGGACCTGCACGCTCACTTACGTACACCCCTTGAAAACGTACCCTGCAGCCTCCGATGCTGAGCCGTCCGGTTGGGAAGCCCTCATGCTCCCGAACGAGTTGCAGATCACCAGCTGCGGCCAGAACATCCTGCGATGTCTTCGCCTCAAATGTCCCCACAAATTCGCAATTGCGTGACCAAAGTGATTAAAGAACATGGATTTGCTTACCGTCGCCCAACAGCACAAAAGGAAAAAATGTCGGGGGACCAAGGTGTCTGGACGTTCTGTCGCTGCAACACAATGATGCTAAAACACGCAGAGAAGCCTGGAAAAGACGAAGCAAATCTTTCGCGCTCTGTGCGTCCACTAGCAGGTCCGGCTGGTTCACCGGAAAGACATACCAAGCCTGCAAGGAACCCACCCCAGCCAGCTTCCCTGACAATGTGCACCAACAAAGGCCCGAGAAGAAAAGAAGCCCCGCCTTGACATTATCGCTCCCTGGCTGACTGTAGAAATTTCCAGGCATGAAAGCAACAAACTTGCCCGCACATGCCATCCGCGTCTGCTCCTGACCCTTTTGCGGGTCTCGCTCCTGCGTGCACAACATGGAAAGCAGTTAAGCTGGGCCGTCGATTATCTCGTTTCAATCAGTCGGATAGCGTGAAATAGGGTAGGGTAGAGTGGGGTCGGCGGAGTAGGCTGTAAGTTTCAAGAGTACGATAATGTAGGGCAGGATGTAGGGTAGCCGGGTAGGGGGACAGGGTTGGGTTGGGTAGGGTAGGGTAGGGTAGGGTAGGGTAGGGTAGGGTAGGGAAGGGTAGGGTAGGGTAGGGTAGGGTAGGGTAGGGTCGGGTAGGGTAGGGTAGGGTAGGGTAGGGTAGGGTAGGGTAGGGTAGGGTAGGGTAGGCAGGCAGGCAGGTAGGTAGGTAGGTAAGTAGGTATGTAGGTGCTTAAATGTGTGTACATATATATATATATAGCTTATATGTGCGCGACTAAACAAGCAATATTTACATATACACACGCCGAACCTCCTGCAGTGAGCAAGCAAACAGCCAGCAGCACTACACACATAATGTATACAGTATACATCTATCAATGTAAAGCTGGACTTCGTTCGACATGTTCCAAACCGACAGCTATCCAATACTAGAGCCCAAGACAGACTCCAGATTCTCTCCAGAGCGCGCTACAAGGCCATTCCTCAGCCCCTAAACCCTAACCCCCTCAACCCTAAACCCTAAACCCCTAAACCCTAAACCCTAAAGCCCTAAACCCTAAACCATAAACCCTTTTACACCTGGATAAACCCATAAACCCTAAACCCCTAAACCCCTAAAGCCCTAAACCCTGAAGCCCTAAACCCTAAACCCTAAACCCCTAAACCCTAAAGCCCTAAAGCCTAAAGGGCCTAAACCCTGAAGCCATAAACCATAAACCCTGGCTTCAAGCCCGGAGCCCTAAGTGCTACGCCCCCGCGAACCCTGAGCACGGCCCACCCCAAACCATAAGCCCCTCAACCCTGAACCCTAAACCATTTTTAACCCTAAACCCTAAACCCCCGAACCCTATGCACCAAAAGCCCCAAAAACCCTAAACCCCAAACCCCCGACCCTAAGCCCCAAAAGACCCAAAAGACGCATAAGCCCTAAACCCCCGAACCCTAAGCCCCAAAGGACCCAAACACCCAAAAGCCCAAAACCCCCGAACCCTAAGCCCCAAAAGACCCAAACACCCAAAAGCCCTAAACCCCCGAATACTATGCACCAAAAGACCCAAAAACCCTAAACCCCAAACCCCCGAACCCTATGCACCAAAAGACCCAAAAACCCTAGCCCTAAACCCCAAACCCCCGAACCCTAAGCCCCAAAAGACCCAAAAGACCCAAAAGACCCAAAGACCCAAAGACCCAAAACCCCTAAGCCCTAAACCCTAAACCCTGAACCCTAAACCCTAAACCCCGAGCCCTGAGCCCGAAGGCTTCGGGCCTCGGACTCCTGGCTCGCGGGACCCTCCGTCAGAAAGGCGGCCGCAGGGGCGCTAGCCTCTCTGGTTGCGTTCACCCGCTGAGGGTTTAGGGTTTAGGGTTTCTAGGGCTTGGGGTTTAGGGTTTAGGGCTTAGTGTGGTTTTGGGGTTTAGGGTTCAGGGTCCGCTGAGCATATTTTTTACACTGTAGCAGATTATGATACATGCATAGCATCTTAGAGTGGAGCATGGTAGTAGTAAAGTATGCGGCTTGCAATGACGTCGCCCATCCCTATAAACCCCGAACTTCAGCCGTAGGGCATAAACCTAGCCCCGGAAGCGGAATCTCACACTCGTACAACACAGGCAAGGCTAATCACTCGCTCTGAGAAATTCGCGTAGCAAGGGCACTATCTAAACTCTTGCAAAAACCACAGGTGACATGCACTCAAGACTAAAAAAAATACTCACTGACGATAGGGAGCTCTGGGCCTATTGGCAGGGCAGCAATTCTCTCATGGCACATGCTTGCACGAGCCGATGACGCTCCAGTGACTCGCGCGCAAGCGTGCACCTTCGGCACACCCTAGGCACTCAGCGTACCTAGCTAACTGGTACAGCCACTTCTGTGTCTCGCCAAAACTCGAACTGGAACCTAGGACACTTGGGCGGGCGAAACCAGTTGCGAACCGATGACAGCCAGTCGTCCTTGCCCAAACACGATCGGACTCTTGCGGCCAAGGCCTCGTCAAGGTCACATTGGCCTCTGGGGCAATCGTAGCACATGATCGGTTTGTCATCTAAGAAAGTGTCGGCAAATCTTCCAATCCGCCCTCTCAGATGCTGCTTGACCAGCTTGGCCAGCTTCTGACAGGTACCCCGCATGTCGACCAGGAGAATCTGTGGAGAAAAAGATCCATCTTCATGCAGTGCATCTGCCAGCGTCATCAATTCGTAATTCCAGAACACGGACTTGTAGAGCGACCACTTTTCCGTTGCATTTAGGCCTTGGTTCAGGACAGCCACCACCGAGGACTGACTTCTCGCAGCCATGCTTTCCACGAAGGCACGGCTAGCGCCGTTCCAGAAGTTGACAAGCGGACCCTTGTCGTCGTCGCCCGACCATTGTTTGAAGCAAGGCACTGAAGCGCCCGGATCGCCTCTGCAGCCAAGGAGGTCGTTGTTCTTCTGGACAACTTTGCCCAGAATTGTGCTGGGGTGGACGATGCTCGAGTCCACCAGGTTGGCAAAGTCCGCCAAGGCCTTGTGGTTGAGTCCTCGAGGATCGCCATCGTGAAAGCCGGCCCATAGCATCGCTTCTTTGGGTGCATCAGCTAGTTTGGCACGCAAGCCTTCGTTCAGCTCTTTATGCCCTGTGAACCACAGCATGAGGTCCCGGAGGCATTCCCATTCGGAAAACCCCTCTATCTTCTCACATTCCTTGAGAAGGTCCTCCAGGAGTCCTTGCACCTCATGTCGGCACGGCTGCCCCAGGTTCCTCGTCATGATGGCAGTGAGGGTGCCCAAATTGTCCGGTGCTGCAGCAAAAGGATTCCAGCAGTCCTGCTTGCCAAAACTCCCGCTACATTACAGCTGCGGGGTTGATTCAAAGAAAGGGCAAAACAAAAACATGCACAAAGGAAAGTGACTCCGTCGTTAGAATCCTCGTCATGGGGTTTGCGGGAGTCTGCGTCGGCTCGGCTCGCGGCTCGGATCGCAACCGCAGGGAGGGCGCCGAAGGCTAAGCACACCACGGCGCTGAACGGGAGCATGATGGGGTTAGCAGAGCACTTCGTATGCAGGCCAGGCCAGTGCCGAGCCAAAAAGGCTCCGGTCATAAACGATTTTGAAACGGTTTCAAACCAGGCCAAAACTCACCAATTCAAGCCCTAAAGGCTTTTTCTTTGCAATCATCTGACTTGGGGACTTTCTTATAGGCATTACAAGCAAGTTTCAGGCGTCGCACGAAGTTGCGGGCCTCTAAGGTTCTAGGATTCTCTGGGAGGGTTGAAAGTTGTATTATAGACTTGGACTCAATGCTCTTTGGCCTTGCAACTCACCTTTTCTTGCTGAGAAGACCCAACCCTTAACCCGAAGCCCTGGCCCCCTCATCCCGAAAACCCTGCACTCAAAGCCTAAACGAGCCTCAATGCCCAGGGTGTCGGCTACATGCTGGTCCAGGATCCGCCTGGGACACTGCGGCGCCCGGGTCTTCGCTTTGAGGGCTGGAGGGTTTAGTTAAGAGTTGAGGGTTTAGGGTTTAGGGTTTAGGTTAAGAGTTGAGGGTTTAGGGTTCCCGCCTGGCGAGGGCCAGCCCACAGCACAGGGTTGGGTCAGAGGGAACAGTGGAGTCTCGCTCCAAGTCAGCTCAAAAGCTGAGCACAAAAAAAAAGTGCCTCAAGCCATGTCAGGGACAAAGCTTTCGGGTTTCTACCCTCACAGCTTGGACAATCCGGGTGAGGTGTCTGAGTTCGAAGCTGGCGCCCTAAACGCTAAACCCTAAACCCTAAACCCTAAAACCCTAAACCCTATGTAAACCCTGAAACCCTAAACCCTCAACCCTACACCCCAAGCCCTTAACCCTTAAGCCAAAGCCCTAAAGCCCCAGATCCGACATCTTGCAAACTTACAACTAGGGTCAACAGAGCTTAGGATTCAAAGCTGAATGCTCTGAACAGTAAGGGATATCTTGGGTCCTAGGATTTCGGGTTAAGTTAGGGTGTCTGGCATGTCCTGGACGAGCCTGGCGAACTATCATTACTCATTCCCCATATCAGAACTAACATGTGCTGTCAAGCAACGACATGGCCAAGTACGGAATTTTTGAAAAGTGATGTAATGCTTAGAATCGTGTTTCGGCGCGTGGGTCTCTTACAGGAAGTATACAGCAAGGGGATGGCATGTCCGAACCCTAAACCCTGGAGAATAGGCCCAAAACAAACCCTAAAACTCCTAAACCTTAAGCCCTAAACCCTAAACCCTAAACTCCTAGACCCCAAGCCCGTAACCATGGGACCTACGCCCCCAAAACAACCGCTCCAGCCGGGTAACTGTTGGAGCTGATGCTCCTCGGCGCTGTGCCGAAAGCCCAGACGTCGAGACCCTGGAGCCGGTGAAGATGTTCTGGTTTAAGGCCCTCTTAGGGCCTTGGGTTTAGGGTTTAGGGTCCTCTAAGGGTTTAGGGTTTAGGGTTTTCGGGTGTAGGGCTTAGGGTTTAGGGTTTAAGGCCCTCTTCGGGTTTTGGGTTTTGGGTTTAGGGTCCTCTAAGGGTTTAGGGCTTATGGTTTAAGGTTTAGGGTTTTCGGGTGTAGGGCTTAGGGTTTAGGGTTTAGGGTCCTCTTAGGGTTTAGGGCTTAGGGTTCAAGGTCCTCTTAGGGTTTAGGGTTTAGGGGTTTAGGGTGTAGGGTTTAGGGTTTAGGGTTTTAGGGTGTAGGGCTTTGGGTTTAGGGTTTAGGGTTTAGGGCCTAGGGTCCTCTTAGGGTTTGAGGTTTAGGGTTTAGGTTCCTTTTAAGGGTTCCCATAAAGGTTAATTTTAAAGGGCAGGGATACTGTACGGGTGATAAGGGAGAGGCTGTTCCCCAAGTCAGTTTCATCAGGGTTTGAAGCTTCGGAAGCCAGTAGATGCAACATGAAGTTTGACCACTGCGCACAGAGACCGACTAGCTGCGAAGACATGCTAGAATACAAAATTTCCAAAGCTCGGAAGTGTAGAGAGCAGGGCCTAGTCTGAGCCCCCACATGCTTGTCTACTACCTCACAGGGCTCTTTACAATAAGGTTGGAGGACACGGAAGACTCACAGGGTGACTAGAAGGGCTACCACAAGGGTTACTTTGCTACTACGACGGAGTTCATGGCTGAACAAACCCAAAGGCCAGTGCGCTTCAAGGGCTCTTTTGCGACCTGTACAGAGCGGCAAACTAAGTTCGCCCGCCGCCTCCACATGCAGTTGGATGTGTATATCCCCTAAACCCTAAACCCTAAACCCTAAACCCATATCCTCCATATCCTCAATGCTTCAAACCCTCGCGCATGAACTTAAACCATAAACCCCTAAACTTCACACCCGATAAATTTCAACTCTCAACCCAGGAAGCCGAAACCCGAAGCCCTAATTCCAGCTTCTTCAATCCAAAGGGAGCCTGACTACTTACTAGTTTACGGTTTAGGGTTTGGAGCTTTTAAGCCAGTTCCGCCAAAATATCACGACACTCTATCGCATCAGTTTGGGCTTCAAGGCTTGGGGTTTGGGGCTCGGGGTCTTTAGTTGTGGACCGAACTTAACCCAAAGCAATAGGTTTTCGAACTTCATCCTAAAGCCTTAGGTTTCGGGTTCAGTGAATAGGAATCGTCCACCTCAGCCACAGAACTGGGGCGAAGCCTCCCTTCGGATGTGCGACAAGACAAGCTTGCAGAATGCAAGCCTGAAGCTACAAGGTTCTGGAAGCACCTTCGCTGCCCGGGCTGGCCCTCGTTCGACCCCGTTTCCTGGAAGAACCGGATGCTGATAGCGGCTTGCAGAAACTCTCCCAAGCGAAGGTCACACACATCGACCCTGAAACCTCGCAGGTCCTATAGATCCTCAGTCCTCCATCAGTCAACCAACCTGTGCCGAAACTCAACCTTGCACTCTTTTGGCTCTACTCTAGGTTTATAGCAATACTTGTAATAGCAATAGCTGTAAGAATAAATATAAGAACAGTAATAATAACAATCACAATAATAATAACAATAGTAATAATAATAGTAATAATAACAATAAGAATGAAAATAAGAATGATAATAATAATAATCCTCATCATCATCATAACAATAGTGATAAGGATAATAACAATAGTAATAGTAATCAGGTGCCTTTCCGGGCCATGAAGTGTCCCAGAGACTGACAGGAACTGGTAGCCGCGATGCTGGCTCGCTCTGTTGGCGTCCCATCACAGGCATGTGGCAGCGTGGGGGGCGGGTTCAGGAAGGAGCAGCAAAAGCTATCGATGCCCTGAATCTACGCCTTACAAGCCTCAGTCCACGCCCAGGGCCTTCGGATCATTTGGGTTTGGGGGAATCTTGCTTCACATCCCTTGGCGAAGACTTCACATCGTTTTTCTGCGAAGAGTGATCAATCGTTCAGGTTTTGGCCTCTTGTTCAAAAGATCTGCTAGCTGCTGCTCCGCCTTCGCGCTGGCACACATAAGGTTAAAGTCTCAGCAAAAAACGGGCGTGTCTTGCACTGACCTGGTGGATCCGTGGCTCTTGCAGAAACCGACGGCCCACCCTGTGACACTCTCGGGCAGGGCTGTCAAAGTTGGGACGCCTCTTGGATGCCACATTGATTTCAAAAAGGGGGTCCCACCTCTGAACGCCAAACCCCAAGCCCTAAACTTTAAGGCTCACGCCCATGAAGACCTGGCATCGACCCACCAGCTGAGACCCTGGTTGATCTGACGCAAGTAGTCGCGCAACACACCGCCCTCACTGCTGGCGGCACCCGTGCTACAAGGCGAATTGACTGTGGTTGTGTTTGCCGTTGTGGTCATATCCTCATCTGAGTCCAGCATGCGTTTCGTGGGTGACTGCGGAGAACGTTCCATGAGGTGGTCGGACGTCAGCGGAAGCGGCCTGCGCAGCACATCTGCGACATGCTTGGGAATGGAGAAGCTCCCGCTGCTGATGACGGCAATGCGGCCGATACTCTCGAAGTCGCAGTCTTCTTGCTCGCGGGTCTTCAGCGTCTGGAAGAAGCTGACAACCTCTTCGAACCTCATGCCCAGAAGTGTCTGCTGCAACAACTGCAGCACGGCTATGGAGACCGATAGAATCTCCGCAAGACCTCCGCAGATGATGGCGTCCCAAAGCACAAGTACCATGGGCAACGGCAGGCTGCTAACGAAGAGGGTCCTTGGCAGTTTTGGGCTTCTGTGCTCATGTAGTCACCAATTTCGAGGAGCCCTTCCATGTGAAGTTAACGAAACCTCTGACTCACCAACCATGAACGGAGCAAGCCATGAGACAGGATCAAGAAACAACGAAAACATAGAATGATGTAGCCTCCTCCCCCTTTTTTGCCGCAGGGACTCCTTCTCCTTGAATTCTAAAGCCTGAACCGAAATCAGACCTAGGGGCAGGAACCATTGATGGAGGTAGACGGAGTGCTGGAGGTTCTCTTTGCAGAAGTGCTCGTGAAGCTCCGGAAGAGACGCGGCAACGAGCTCATCGAAGGCCCACAGATACCTCACTGACAACACGGAAACATCAAGGTTCTCCAAGTTCAGAGGGTCTATTGGGTTGAAAGCGCCCAAACGCGAAAGCCGAAAAGCCGAAGACCGTCGTGCCCTGCCTTAATAACCAGCAACTAGAATAGGGGTTTGGGGGCATGTCATATGATATGATGGTACTGAGAAAGGCACCCCAAGGGATGGTATGACTCCCTATAGTAGAGGATGCAGGGAACTCTACTGCTGCTGCGCAGGCTCTTTGGAAATGGACTTCACGTTTACCGCGGATGCCAAACTGCGATAAAATGCGGGTGTCTGGTTATTATGGGTTATTGATGCTTCTCTGGAATTGCGACCTGCCCGACCTGCCCAAGCATCGCGAGATTCCATACAAATGTCGAGGGACAACATGACCTAGACATCTCCACGGACATTTCCAGCACACACCGCCCCGAGACACCAACCGGTACACATCGGCCGAGACATGGCACAGCAAACATCGACCGCACACGCAAGCGACCGCGCGGACACACTGATTGACAAGTGCCTGAAGCCCGAAACCCATCCAAGCCACAAACCCCCAAAGATCCCACAACCCTTGGAACATCTTGGAACCCTCAGCATAACCCCAGCCTACATCAACCATTTTATGGGAGTTAGGTTTACGGGGACCCTTGGGGATGGAGACCCTCTCAATAAGGTCCCTGTTAACAGAGCCATAAGTAAAGTTCAGAAGGGCCCCCTTTAAGGGGTCTCCCTAAAACTACACAGGATTGTAGTAACCCTCTATAGCACTCGCCTGGTTGATGCTCCCAGCTGCCTTTTGAGGAGCGGAAACCCACGACGGTAGAAGCCGTTCAGCTGGCCGAACCTCGATTCTTCGGGGGGGCTCGAAAATTTAGGAGGTTTCAAGCTGGTCTCGTAGCGGTTTACAAGGTTCTTGGTGGGGTTAAAGTTTTTTGGCCCCCTGCATGGCTGAGCGAATCACTAGGCAAGTTTCCAAAACTGACAATCGCAAAATTCGGCTTGCGAGTCTTTCATGAAACCCTAAACCCTAAACCCTAAAGATAGCCCATGCAAAAACCTCAAGTCGCCCCTCCGGCCATCACTCCAACCATCCCCGAGGCCCATCAGTCTCCCCCTTGGCAAAGGTGTTTAGGCTTTACCTAAACCCCTAGAAGTAGTTAAATTAATGGCCCAAAACCCACAAAAGGCGATTATTCTACATACTCTTGGGGTCCAGGTAGGGGTTTTATCGGATGCTCCAGGGTTCCTTTAAGGGCTCTTCGAACGCGCTTGTCACGAGTTTTTGCCCCGGTGGCTACTGGATTCGACGAAAGATTCTGCGAGGGCTCTTGTTTGAGGGTTGATGGCCGGGGGCTTTGGGTGTTGAGTTTAGCTTAGGGAAGAGTGTGAAGGGCCTCGCAGCTGAGATTCGGGTACAAGGCCTGCGGCTAAGCATGGCGAATTGAAACTGTGGCTTTTGCCAGTTACGTGTTCCTTAATTGACTGAGTACCTGCAAGTGCCCATGATTCATCAAACAAGGAATCTCAAGCAGAAGGCCACTCAAGCGACCACAGACAAAGTCACCCCAAAAACCACAACCTGTCTCGCCTGCTCGGACATCATGTTGTGCGCTGCTTGCTGGCAGGTTGGGCATGATGCGGCATGAGATTTCAAGTGCGGCAGCTCACAAGACCCCATAAAGTAAAGCCCTAAATCCCGAACCTTAAACTAAAAAGCGCTAAGCCTCCCCAAGCCCTAAACCCCAAACCCCAAGCCCTAAGCCCTAAACCCCAAAAACCTAAACCCGGCGCCCCCAGACCAAGCTTGGCTTGGAGTTTCGGGTTTAGGGAGGTTTAGGGTTTAGGGTTTAGGGGTTTCGGGTTTGGGCAGGTGCTTTGGTGTTTTAGGCTTGGCTTTCTGTTGGATGCCTTGCTCAATCTGGTCTTCGCGTTAGGGTTCAGGGATAGGCTCTTCAACTGAACCTTTTCGGGGTTCGGCAAGTGACCAGGTGACTACCCCTTAAACCCCTAAACCCTAAACCCCTAAACCCCTAAACCCTAAACCCCTAAGCCCCTAAACCCCTAAGCCCCTAAACCCCTAGAGCCCTAAAACCCTAAACAACGAGGGCGTCTCCATGAGGCCCAGTGGCTCCATGAGGCAGAAGAACATCCAAAATGTGGACTCTTCGACTTCCTGGGCTGGAGCTTCCAGGGCTTTAGGGCTTTAGGGGTTTAGGGGTTTACGTAGGGCTTTAGGGCTTTAGGGCTT